CCCCAAAACCCCAAAACCCCAAAACCCCATAGTCTCAATTATATGCTAAGAATAGAATTCTTAATTAAATATATAAAAGTATCGCAAAAAATTTAGTCATGCATATATTTATTTATTGTTCATCGGATTTGACTACGAAGAAAGATGCCCTTGTTCTTGGGGCCGGTGTCCTTCTTCTCTTATTTGACCTCAACATCTTCTTTATTCTAGATGATCTTTGCGAAATCTAGGGAATCTTTCCAGAATACTAGTGCAACAAAGAACTACAAGTAAATAAATAAAGGTAATGTTTTCTTACTCTGAGGAGGAAGGAGGCATATGACATCATAAGGGAGAACCTTCTGATTCTGATCTCGCCACTTCCATCAGTCTTAGGCTCTTCAGAGTACTCGCCATGCTTCAAGAAGAACCAGATAAGATCATAGATGATGGTAATGAAGATACCAAAAGTTAGCATTTTGAATCTAAGCTTAGTGATTCTATCAGTGTTGAACATCATGTATAAAGCTGTGGTGCAGATAGTTAGGTTGAAGTAATCTGGTCTCATAAACATAACTAGGCAAGTGATGGCTGTATAGAGCCATAGCAAGTACCAAGTAAGACTAAACCATGGCACTGAATTGTATCCTGCTCTCTAAGCAAAAGTATTTGCGACTAAATCAATTCTAGCTTCAAGAGCCTTCTCATGCTATTCTAGTTTTTCTATTCTCTAGACCATTTAGGGAGGAAGATCATACACTGGCTCTTGCTTGCCATCCTCGCCTTCTTAAGCACCTTTACCAACCTCAGGCTTCATGTGGAAACCCTAAATGAAGCCGAATGGAGACTCCATGTGTTTGAGGATGGCTCTTAATTCTTTGAGCTCTGCCTCGGAATTTTCAATCTGTTCACTCCACATATTGATGTATCCAGTAAGCATCTTTGTCTTTGAGAACACATATTGAATCACAAGTCTGATTTTGCCTTGCCATTTTTGGTTTGGGTTTTTGCCAGACAACTCAAACCACAGATCGTGTGGAGCTTGATCTACGAAATCGACTAAATCGAAGGAGAGCTGGCCTTCAAAGTCATCAGTGCCGAAGTCATCTTTATCATAGACTTCAATCTCCATAATTTCCTTGCCAGTATCAACATCAAAAGTGAATACTTCGTTCCAGACTGGATTTAGTTCCTGCTTGATGAAGTTTGACTTTTAAGTCTAACCGCCTAACTTCAATACGCAGTATGGATCTGCCTTACCAGTTATATCCATTGGTGTGAGATCTCTAGCTTCAATAATTCTAACACTCAAAATCGCATCATCGTCAATCCCGTATGCGTTAAGTCTTTCCTTCATTCTCTGCTCCTTCAACTTTTATATCAACTTCTCCCTTGACTCGTAATGCACCTTGGTGTCTTCTTCAATTTGTGTGATTCTTTCCTTGATGATTTTCTGTCTGTCAAAGTAGTTTTGAATAAATTCTTCAAGCATGATGGTGCCACTGCCATCATCGTCCAGTTCAGCAAATATTTACTCTGCAATACCAGTATCTACAGTGCCATTAGTTTGCTCATTAAGGAATCTGATAATTTCATCAATAGAGATAGTTCCATCCCTGTTGATATCAATTCGAGAGAACTCAGTTCGGAGTTGAGAGAGAATTCTTTCGTATTCACGATCCTTAGAAAGCGCTTTCTGCATGGTTTCAGCACCGACTCCAGCGCCAGTTTCCCTCAACATCAGTCTGTTGGGGTCATTGTCCTGCTAATACTAATCATCTCTGCCAGCTCTGCTTATGCCTACATGAAATCTTACTCTTATTGTCTAAGTTACCTTTATAAGGAGAAGCTTATCTACTGAACGATTAAGCATTCCCTTGGCCTGGGAATAGAAGATTGTTCATTTATTTTTGTTATTTATATTCTAAGTTTTACTGTTTAAATTCAAAACCTCACTTTATTCATACCAATGGGGTTTTGGGGTTTTGGGGTTTTGGGGTTTTGGGG